TTAGACTGTTAACACTTAACAGACATTTTCATACTTTAACTACAGTAGTTTAAATGAGGGGCAAATATAGATGTAAGATTTCAATTTTTTCAACCTCTCCTCTTGATATTTTTATTGTTGTGTGTTTTGCAAATCACAGGTTTTCATTTTCATAGAGGGTGTTCCAAATGATGTCATATAACCAAAGAATGTAGATGGTCAATTTAAACTATTTGGTAGATAACCAAAAGCTCAAAATCACCCACTGAACAATACCCAGTGTACATGACATGGATATGCTACAGATAATAAAGTGTGATAAAATCAAGCAAATTATGATCAAGTAAATGTTTGTTTACAAAACCCCTATATAATGTTACAGTAGGATATATGTAAAGCAATATTAGTGAGGAAAATATGATCAAGTAATGTTGTTTACAAAAAGCCATATAATGTTACAGTAGGATATGTAAAGCAAGATTAGTGAGTTTGGATACATTGTAAGAATATTGGTTGGCAAGATGTCTTTTAGTTTACTCATAGTTCCTATTGTTCTAGACAATTTGCATAGAACTTCATAGACGTGTGCTTTCCACTTTATCTTTATCAATATTAAGAACTTTGTTTAAATTTGTATGTTTAATCAAATTCCCATTCATATATATTTTTACTTCACTAGCACACATCTTTGGAAAGTAAAACAACATAACATTTGCAGTTTATTTGCGCTTATCCACTCACTAACTTTTAGGAGTTCATTGTTCAGATTTTGGGTCAGGCATTCGACATCTTTATGCTTATAAATATATTGGTATCGTCCGTGAACAGTATAAAATTCAAAATGGGAGAGACTGAATGTAAATAATTTAAATGAATTTAAAAGAGCAGGGGGCCTATAATTTGACCCCTGCGGAATTCCACAGGAAACTGACTGTAACTTGAAGTTTTAGAATCAAAAACAGTGAATTGTTTTCTATCATTTGATAACTGCAAAATAAATTTGAGGTAACTCCACGAATTCCATAACAATAAAGTTTGAAAGGAAGAATATCATGGTTGATTGAATCGAAAGCCAGCTTAAATCTAAAAATATATTACAATATCTTTTAAAAAAGCACCAAGTACATGTAACTAATCTATGTAGAAAGGATTACTACTGCCATTATTCAATACTTAAATTTGCATTCACAGTGCCTGTTC